ACCAACTTTGATGGGAAGGTAACAGTGTTCCGTGCGCCTTCGGTGTTTAGTCATGCTTTCCACATGACCACTGAGACGTCTTCAGACAGCGCTGACTCTTTGGCTTTGAAACGGAGATGAGCACCTGCCCCTAGAGTCAGGAACGACTAGCACATATGTGCGAGGGGAACCTTTACTTTTACCTTAAGTGTCAATCAGTTTGAGGACACAAGGTAAGAACTCTGCCCCATGAATAGAGTCTGGCTGTCAGCATCACATTCAGGTCACTATTTGTTTAGCACTTTTATCCCCAGAGATTTAATTTATCAGTATGCCCTGACACATCCCATGGCTTTGCATTTCATCAGGTTGGGACATAATTTTGGAATCCTTGGGTTTTCTTTCTACATATATGGCTTCCCACCTATAATTGAGTTCATTATTTGCTTCCTGTTCCCAGAATATGCAAACAGAAGGTAACCAAATTTTATTTTCTGTTGAAAGTCCTTTGCAGGACAAGTAGTGAAAATAATGAACTTTAGAGATGTAATTGTTTTTATCTGTAAAACAATCCCTTCTCCCCCCCCCCAATAGTTATATGAAAAGGGCTGCCTAGCACTATAACATTTCAAGGACTTGTTCAAGTTGAGTTCCTGGAGAAGTATGATTTTTGTTTTTCACGTGAGCAACATCTGCAAGAGGAACTATGTATATTGAATCTTTAAAAAGCTTCTCTTGTTAAAATTTAAAGGAAAGAAGGGGAAATGATAAACAGGCCTGGTTTTGACTTTTATACAGCCTTCTGTTTCTTACAGGAGGCTTGTTTTATGGGATTAATGTTCTTTTCTCTTTTAAATTCCAAAATATTTTGCATGTTTCTGAGCTGAGCTGCTTGATCTTATTAGAGTAAACAGCAAAGTTTCCTTCCCAGTGTGCTGGAATATTACAACTCTCATATTTCCCACAGGCAGATTGTGCTGGGTAGGAATGCTGAGAGTTGTCATTCAACATATTAGATGCTGCCACAATGCTAAAATACCCCTTGCAGGGTTTTAATAGGGTAATTGCTGTCTGTTGTGCTGTGAGGGTCGGAAGAAGATAAACTCATTTATGGTTTGGCTAAACATGGGTAATGTAATCCATACAACAGAAATAACTAGCCCTTTTCATTGAGATAATATATGCAACCTCCCAAGTTGTTCTCTACACCAGTTTGCTTATTCTTTACTGTGTGGGTCCCTTGAGAAATCATTTGTTTGAAGTGGTTACATTAGTCTGAGCAGAAAGAAATCCATTAGTTCAAAACAGTTAATGCTAATTCTGTGCTTCTGCAAGTCCCTTGTGGATCAGTTTGTGCATAAATATATATTTTTATATTAATCAAAGATTTCAAAGAAAAACATTCTTACGCTCACAGGCCAGCTTAAAATCAGAGTATGTTATTACAGATAGTCCGCGACTTATGGCCACAATTGAGCCCCAAATTTACACTGGTAAGTGAGATATTTGTTAAGTGAGTTTTGCCCATTTTATGACTTTTTTTATTAATATAAAAATATATATTT